GGTATCCAAGGGAAACAATTAGATACTATTTTTACAATCCTGTTGAGCAAAAAGTTTTTGTCTCAAAACATGTTGTTTTCCTTGAGAAAGAGTTTATTTTGGAAGGGGTGGGAGGGTTGGGTGGAATGGTTAGGAGATTAGGATGGGGGATTGTTATTACCGAGAGGTCGAGGGTTTGATTTTTACCAGGACCATTCAATTTAAAAAAAAAGAAAAAAAAAAGAGTTTCTTTTGGAAAAATCTAGTGGGAGCAAAGTAGAACTTGAAGAAATTCAAGAACCACAAACTAGTAATACGTCGTTGATAATTCATGAAGAACTTCTGCTACATGAAGATATAGGTCAAAATGAAGTTCCAGAAACACAAGTTGCTCGAAAAGTAGTAGGATACGTCATCCTCCTTTAAGGTACGATGACGTCTATGTCATAGATGATGACACTGACCCAACTACTTATCAAGGTGCCTTATCTGATAAGGACTCTGAGAAGCGGCTTAAAGCCATGACATCTGAGATGGATTCCATGTATGAAAATAAGGTGTGGACCTTAGTTGATCCACCTATTGGGGTAAAACACATTGCATGCAAATGGATCTTCAAGAGAAAGAAAGACATGGATGACCCAACAGTATGGTATTGATTAGGATGATACTGTGTTAAAGAGGTTTAGCATGGAAAACTCTAAGAAAGATTTCTTACCCATGTCTCATGGTGTTTACCTTTCTAAGAAAATGTGTCCCAAGACTGATGAGGAAATGCGACGCATGCAAAATATTCTATATGCTTCTACAGTGGGATCTATTATGTATGCTATGCATTGTACTAGACCCGAAATCTCCTATGTTGTAAGTGTTACAAGCAGATATCAAGCCAATCATGGTGAAAATCATTGGAAAGTTGTCAAGATTATTCTTAAGTACTTGAGAAGGACTTAAGAATTGTTCTTGGTTTATGGAGATATAGATCTTGAGATACGTGGATATATAGATACCAGTTTTCAGTCCGATAGGGATGAATTTCAATCGCAATATGGATACATATTCACTCTTAATGGTGGTGCTGTAAGCTAGAAGAGTTCCAAACAGTCAACTATAGCAGATTCTACAGGTGAGACTGAATCCATTGCCACTTCTGAAGCATCTAAAGAAGCAGTCTGGATGAAAAAGTTCGTCGCTGAACTTGGTGTAGTTCCTTCCATAGTTAATCCGATACGCTTGTAATGCGATAGCACTGGAGCCATTGCACAGGAAAAGGAGCCTAGATCTCATCAAAAGTCTAAGCATGTGATGCGGCGCTATCACCTTATTAGAGAATATGTTGGTAGACATGAGATAGAGATAGAGAAAATTCCTACGGATAATAACATAGTTGATTCGTTGACTAAACCATTATCCCAGCTTAAGCATGATGCGCATGTGCGCTCATTTGGCCTGAAGCAACTGGATATATAAGAGGTTTTCGTCCAAGTGAGAACGTTATTTACTAGTGTGTGGATAAAACCCAATTTGGTTTGTAATTTTACACTTTTATTATTATGCAATTTGATGATATGATTTTATTTATCATTTACTTCATTGTCTTTTACTTTACTTAAATGATAAAGTCCTTAGAATAAAATTATATGAAAGAAATCATAAAGAGTTATGATGGTGAGATTCTTCAATTATATAATATTTTATTCTTAAAGTATCCCTAATCATAGTATTAACAAAACAGGGTATTGTTAATATGGATAGACTAGCACATGTTATGATTCTTCCCAATATAGGAAGTAGTTGATCTCATCGACTATTGTGTAGTTGACACAAAACAAAATATGTGGATGCTTGTTTGAGAACAAGTTCATTGGATTGACCTGCTTAGAGATTCCACAAAGTAAACTATTTAAAATGTCAATGGTTTAATCTCTAATGTGAATTTGGTGTAATTGATCCTCGACTTGAGATCATAAGAGTGCCTAAAGTGTAGATTGTTGTGTTTCTGCATTTTTGGTCCTTAACCTTAGTTGGTTATGCGTGCTCTGAGAGATGAACTCAATATGAAATTCGGTTAAACAGTTTATGTTCAATATAGGATTCACCACTTCTAATAGTAAGAAGAAAATATCCTTCGGCTACTTGTTAAAATATGACTCAAGGAACATTTGCGCAAACTAGTGGGAATTTAGAAATGTTCTAAACATACCTACAAATGAGTTATGTTTTGGGAACAAGTAAAGAAATAATTAGCTCATTAAGAGTTAGCCCTATACCTTACTCTTGAGTTAATAGGATATAGTATCGTGAAAGGATAATATTTACACGAAAACATGTTCATGGAAAGGTGAATTTGATCATATGACTTTTCTCAACACTTGGGTGGTCATGATGCCTGTCTAGAGGCCAATCTTGATCTATAAATATAAATTATATAATCTTAAAATTTCATATTCATTTGGCTTTAGTCCAAGTGGTAGTTTGTTGGTTTATGTCCTAAAGCCAATCAAATTGTAAGTTTATGGTTTATATTTATTATGAATATGTTTGAGAACTTATAGGGTCACACATGGATGATTTAATTATTGGGATAATTGATTTATAAGATAAATTAAACTTCAGGGACTTATTTATCAATATGATTTAATAATAAGTCCATATACAAGTCTTGCACAATAAGTCACATAATTACTATATAAATGGAGCTCTCCTGCGTCCTTGGATATATTAACGTGAAAACAGAATTGTGTAAGAGATCTAACTGTCTTCAACTTGTGTCCTGTCCCATAAGTCATTTGTGTGGATACTGATAGAAGCCAAGCAATTATGTGGCTTGTGATCATATTTCTTCTACCACTGGTATCTGGTTGATTCGGTGCAAGAAGTAATCCTAATAATCCTTTTTTATATATTATTCAAAAATTGCAAATAGATCTCGTTAAATATTAATCTCTGTTGAATCCGCAGCATGATTGATTACTTACACGGTCAACTCCCCCTTTTATATATATATATATATATATATATATATATATATATATATATATATTTAGATTCAAAGACAAATGCAACCAATTATCCCAAGTATGGAGAATGAATCCATAGTATAAATCATAAAGAGGAAACGATATTTATGGCTAAAATGTCATATCAATAAAAATCCTAGGTGTAATTTCTTTTAATAAATTTTCCAAATATAATTTAGTGTAATTGTGTAAAAGTCCTCTAAATTTAGGTTGTTTTAATTATCTTATTCCATAAAAGATATTCCCTCCGTCCTAGAAAAATAGTCTACATTGAGTTTTCCAATTACTACTAAACATAGTACAAATCTTAAAAACTCAATGTGGATTATATTTTTGAGACGGAGGTAGTAATAAAATTCAACGAGATCCGACTTTAAATTCACAGAAAAAAAATAAAAATGCATAATCTCTTTGGAGCTAATAGCAGTAGATTTCTTTCTTTTTTTTTTGTGGTACATGCAATATATGAATTTCTTCTCTTTTTTTTTTGTTCTCGGAATATTTGAGTTAAACTTAAATTACAACAATTAAGTCTATATTATATAATTAATTATAAAGTTTCTCCAGTAGTGATAATGAATTTATAGGCATCACATTGGTATGAAGTATTAACGTTTGGCTTGTTTTGATATTGTAAGTCCATACCTTAATGTATTTACTAGGAATTCTCTGTCCGCGGTTCGCGCGGACTGCCGTTACATGATTAACATGATTGCAATTACTTACAATACGAATAATTACGCAAACACTAAAGGAAATTTGATCACAAAAAGGACCTCGTAGATTGGAGAATACAACACTATGGAACCTAAAACATGGAAAGATATGGATTATAATATTGGGTTTTTGGTTGCCATCCATAGCTAGCTACAAAGAAGAAATTAACATCTTCAACCAACTTTTGTAATCCTAAAACGACTAAGAACATACTTGAAGCTGTAAATTATTGTGCTTGTCTAAATTTTATAATTTCACAATATTTTGGATCTCACTTAATTCTCTTTTATCAATGACCACTTTTTGAAAGAAAGCAAATGCATCATATATCATCTAGTTCGAAAGAAAACAAATGTTGTAAATTGGTGCTAACTTTTTTTAAAAAAAAAAATGAAAGCTCTTATAAACATTATATACACTTCTTACTTTCTATGAGAACATGACAAAGGTTAGAATAAAAAAGATGTTAGGTTAAAGCAATAATAATTCTTGACTAATGCAAATAATTCCTCTGGAACAAGGAGTAGCCAAAGTAGAAGTATAAAATTTATCACGGCTGAGTTAAGTGAAATCAAATACTGATGGGAGAGCAAATCGCACAGAAAGTTGGATGATATAGGAAATTTGGTTTCGGGACATTTTTTAATGAAAATTTATTTGAAAAAATAGAAGGATATAGAATAATCATGGAGAAAGGAGACAGGAAAGAGAAAATTTGGTAAAAATAGTGGGGTTTTATTTATTTTATTTTTAAGAAAATGCCACCTATAATAAATGAATTGTACGACAACGACGACGACGGACGAAGTAGTAATCGAGTTTTTTTAAATTTTTTGGTCGAACGACCCAATATTAATTGACTCCCACATTATATTAGTAATGGATGTGAGTTCTTGGATCAACTTTAGTTTATGAACTGTTTGACCGACCCATTTCTTTTTTTATTTCAATAATTGATTTAATTAGAAAAATAAGATCATCGTAAAATAATAACAATAAATCATAAGGAAATTATTATCTCTGTATAACATCTGGTGTATCACTGCTCTATCATGATGCCAGCTGGTTTGATTCTTTGTGGTTTTTCAGTTTTTCTTGTTCTAAGAAGATTTAGTTAGATTTTGGCTCCTAAAAATCTGCTAATTAAGTAATCCCAAACCTTACAAATTTTTAGCATTTCTACTTTAAAGCCTACATTCTTGCTAAAATTAGAACTTATATTTTCACCACAATGGGAATCGTCTTCTCTCTCTGTTTTTTTTTTTTGGCTCCATTTCAATTTCCAAATAATCAAATTTCACTACTTGATATTTTTCCAAAACGTTACATCTGCAAATCCAACTTAACTCCCGCTTCCTTCACAGATCATCTCATTTTGCTGTACGATATTGATCATTTTTGTCTCAATTAGAGTGTGTTCCATTGTTGTGTTGTGTCAAAACAGGTGATTTATTCTTCTATAATAATAATAGGAATGTACTTCTCTCCATTGTTTCTATTAGAATGACAATATATAAAGATTCCATCTTTCCGATGTGTTTGAACATCTTGTGTGTTGAAGATGGTATGTGCAATTAAGCAGCATCGTTTTATTGATTGCATGCATGAAGTGATTGAAACTTAATATTATTTTTTTTTTTAGAATTTCCGGAATTGGGTTCATATGTTTTGAGGAAGATTAGCTTCCAGTTTTAGTATGAGGGTTTCATTGTCAAGAACCCTTTTGTCCCCAAATCATTGAGTTTTTGAAGATTTTGGATCAGTAACACCAGAACAGAGGTAAGGTGTAGTTTCATTTTGGATTTCAGGGACGCAGGCTACATAAGTCCTTTATGGAGTCAATTGCCAAATATTTTTTTATGGTCAATTCATTTCTGATATACTTCCTTTCAAGGTTTAGAGACAGAATTATGACAAAGCAATAGTTGCTTATCTGATAAAAATTAGTGATTAGTAGAAACCTGAAATGAAGCCAAAATGTGATTGATTATAGTTAATGCATGACTTGTAGAAGAAAACAGTTTCATGCAGTATTTAGTGATATGCTGTAAGTGCATAACAAATGTTGTTTGCTAAGTCATCGAGTTAAATCTATGACCAATTGATTGAATGTTGCTTGTGTGCTACAGATATTGTAATAATGGATAGAGTACGGCCAGTGTATACAAGGCAGCCGAGTGGATCAACCACACCTACTTCCGGTCCCCCTTCCTCACCAATGAACTCCCCATTCAAAACGCATGTACGTTCTGGTTCAGCTGGAAATGTGAGGAGACCTCAAAATACAAAAGCTGCAGCTCAGAGGCTTGCTCAGGTTATGTCACATCAAATGCCTGATGATGAAGATGATGAGGATGATCTATTATATGACTATACCCCTGCGAATCTCTTATCAGGTGTCGGCCACGCTAGTTCCAGGCCGAACAGAAATCGCTCCCCAATGGTAATGTGATTATCTGTTTCAGTTCATATTGAGTAGGAAAATATACTTTCTTCCATGTTTCTGTAACTGTAGGCAGCATGAAGAACCTTAGTGAACCTAAGTGGTAACACACTTGCATATCGCGAGAAATGCTTTTCCATGTAGTTTTGATTACCTCAGGGTTTTGAAATGTAACCAGGTTAGGCTCGTAGTTGAGAAACTTATGCTTATGCTACACTTAGTTTGAAACACAATAAGATCTGTTAGTTGTTATCTTTTAACGTAACTCAACTTTATTCAGCCAAGAATTCATACACCAACAGTCAATGATATATGCAGATTGTAAAGCTGTTTTCAGTTTAAACAACTTAATCATTTTACTAATGAATGTAATGTTTTTGTTAAATTGGATTGTTTTCTTGATTTTCATCTTGTTTATTTCATTGATGACAGGCCTTAAAATTCTCTGTGATATTTTTCAGGCAGTTAGAACTCCCATAGAACAACCTTCGCACGTCCGAGCAGCGTCAGGTTTACGATCGTCTCCAGTTGTCAACCCTGTGGAACAACCTTCCTCAACTCGGTCTAGCTCAGTTGTTCGATTAGCTTCATCAAACTCCTTGGAACAGATTTCCTCAGCTCAGTCTCCTCTAGCAGGTCGTTCATCTCAATCAACAAGTTCCGCGGAAGAGATTCAACCTCCATCTGCAACTTCTAACTCAGCAACTAGTCGGTCATCTCAATTTAACGTCATGGAACAACCTTTATCAGCACGTTCATCTAGTCGCCCAAATCTACCAGCAAAAATAGTACCAATGGTACCCCCAGTTGTCCCAATTTCCCTTAAACCCACGGTATCTGCTATTCCACCAGATGGTCAGCCAGATACCCGCAAGGATAAAAGGTACTCACAATGCTAAAAAAAAAAAAACAAAAAACAAAAAATGTCTACTGAAGTATATGTTACAGCTCAGAAGTCATCGATACACCTCTTTGATCACCATTTCAAAATTTTGTAAGTTTCAAAAGCTTTCTTTCAATGGAAAATGAAGAAACATCTGCTTAAGTTAGGTCAGTTACTGTTTATTCATTTTATGATTAGAAAATTTTAATATTGGTTATTTTATCAGAGTTTCTACCTTAAAACCCATCTTTTGATGGTTCTATCTTTTCAATTATGAGATGTGTTTTCTTCAATTTAAATTTAAGAAACATTTGAAATGAACACGTTAAGTGCCAAGCTCTGGAAATATTAGTATTTTTTTTTTTCTATTTCATGCATCTTTTTCTTTCCATTTTTCTGCATCTGATATCTGTATCTAGCTAACTGCCTCGGATTTTTTGTCAAAAAGCAGGTTATCTTTGGATTTTGGGACTTTTAAATACAAAGAAGCTACTCAGCAGCCAACTTCATCTTCTGCACTGCAAGATGAGGTAGGGTGATTTTCCATATCTTAGGTCCTTCTTTGACTGTCTCTGAACTTTTTCTGAACAAATGAGCTCTCCGAAGCTCATGCATCAACTTCTCTGCGTTATAATATCGCATAGTGATACAAAATTAGGTTTCCATGATATTGTTTTAGTATCGTCAGTACTATGTTACCAATATTTGAAGCAGATTGGCAGGAAAAAACTGTATGACTTTGTTCAGATGTCCATACGTACTGTTAATCTGCCTTAATTCAAATTGCAGCTCGACATGCTTCAAGAAGAGAATGAAAATCTACTAGAAAAGGTGTGTTCATTAATTTCAATCATACTTTTGTTTACATCGAGAAGAAGAATGTAGCGATTGCATACATTAAAACTTTCTTACTCCTATTCTAGCGTATTATTTCTAGGTTCGACTTACAGAAGAGAGGTGTGAGGAAGCAGAAGCAAGAGCTAGGCAGCTCGAGCGACAGGTGGCCCTGTAAACTTTTTTCAACTTGGTTTAATTTACTCAATGTTTTGAAATCTTCATTGAATGATAGGTGTTTAATTTGAGTTCAGAGATGATTCTTGGGAAAGCTTGACTTCAATGTGTTTGCGTTGTTAACCTAATTCTTTGTCAATGAAATACCAGCATAATAAACTTTTTGAATTAATAAGAGGGATGTTTTGGAAGCATAACCTCTAATATTCTAAATCAGAGATAAAAATTGTATGCAAATCAAGACCTTAGTTTATCCATACACTTTCTGCACATGGCCTTCAAATAGCACTTGCAATTTTAAAAAGTTCCATGGTAGCTTTTCCATCTTTCCTTCCACTTTCATGAGAATTGAGCCCAAATTAGCATCTATCTTGTCTTTCCCGCTGGTGCACTACCTTGTTTAAGTCTCCTAAAAGTCTCATCCACCTACATATATTTGTAAATAGTTCAACATGAAAGAAACCATGCCAATGTGAGTATTCCTTCCCTATTTTCCTAGTGAGATGTATTAGATTTCTAACTGATGATGGGTGTCCAGATGAAAATGGATCATCAAGAGTCATTCCCTTTAAAATGTGAAGTCACTCATTCTAATTTCTTATCAGGTTGCAAATCTTGGTGATGGTGTCTCATTAGAAGCTCGTCTTTTGAGCCGGTAATTTTCTACAACATGGAGTTTTATCTGTAAAACTGCACTTTTGATAGTTCAACTTATTTGCTTGCTTGATGATAGGAAGGAAGCTGCTTTACAACAAAGAGAGGTATGGATGGAAAGTTTCAATTATGTCGTTACATATCATCTTACTTTTTCACGTGTCTACAATCGATCCAGAAATCAATTTAGGAAAGGAATGTGTGCACATGTCCTTGCCTCATTAAGCAAGCTTAGATTTTGGTCTCCACCAAACTGTGTTATTTGGAAATGTTCTTTTTGGGTTAGACTCTTTATTCAATGTGATCTAAATTGAAAGTTCACAAGTGTGGACGTAAGTAGCGGTTCATTCCTTGGTGTAGGTTCAATGCTTTACTGAATGGTTTCTTTGTCATGGATCACATAAAGACATTTGAACTTGAGACCATTGCCATTTGGAAACTGAGATCATTCTCTCTATCTTCCATCTGTGATCCTTTAGTTTCCCTTACAAGCCAAAAACTACGAAGCAAGATTAAACATTTTATTTTCTTGCTTTTTTCTTTTTCTTCTTTTCTTTTTTTTTTTTTTTTTTTTTTTTTAACTGGAGGAGACTAGAAGATTACATACTGAAGTGGACAATGACAATATGAGCACATCTGGGGGAATATCTCCCATCTTATTGCTGAAAGGTGTTCTGTGCTTCTAACTGAGCATTATTGAGCTATGATTGGGATCCTAGATTTGTTATTTGTTTTAACATCTTCGTTTATTTTGAATTTTCCAAGTTCTTTACACTTGTTTCTGCATGTAACTCACAGTCTTTGCTTATTGAAGTTTAGTTTAGAGGTAGATCAAGATGAAAATTGGGCAGAGTATATTTGACCACTAATGCTTTTTTGTGCTCTGATGAATTATATAAAAGCATTACTGCAGTAGTAGTAGTTCTTTCTCCCCTCGTGTTCTTTTAACCTCAAGGTTTATACGTGAAAAACATAGGCATGTGATCTCTCTGTGAAACTATTGTGCCATCTCCTTAGTATGAGCAATACAAAGTTTCAGAACTGAGAATGCTATGTAAATTATAACATCAAGTACTCAAAAAAGAAAAGAGTTTAAGATGAAAACAAGGAAGAATTCAGTTGATTCATTTTACTTTCAGGCTGCTTTGAAAGTTGTATCACAAACTTATGGTGGAAAAGGCGAGATTGAAGCACTTCGTACAGAAGCAGAGGTATCCGATATTCTATATATCTTGTACGTTTGTCCTTTACAGATATCATTGTATTATCTTTTGTGTTCACATCTTAAATGGTTTTCGTCGGTGGCATGCTTAATAAATTTTCATAATCAATTAGACTGCAAGAGATGAAGCAAATTCAGCCTTGGAACAGCTGCATGAGGTTGAGAGAGAATTTAAATCACTGCGAACTATGACACAAAGAGTGATGCTGACTCAGGAAGAGATGGTAATTGAAAAACTTCTTCTTCTTCTTCTTCTTCTTTTTTTTTTTGGTTGTTGTTGTCTGGGTTAACAATGAAAAATTTCTCTATTCATCCTATTATGTATCATCTAATCATAGTTTTTCACCATAGGAAGAAGTTGTCTTAAAGAGATGCTGGCTTGCTCGGTATTGGAGTTTATGTGTTCAATATGGTGAGTTACTTCAACCCATGATTGCTTCAAGACGCGACTAATTCATATGTAATTTCAGTTGCTGTTTTCTAACGAGGAATCACATCTTGGCAGCTCATTGTTTTGAGTAGAAGACGAATTCTGAAATCCACAATAAAGCAAGGAATTTGAACAAATTTTTATGATATCTTTTATACATATATATTAATTCGAGCAGTATTCAGTCCACCTCTTTGATTCTGTCCTCGTTGTACCTAAGGCCCTGATCATGGGTTGAAGGGAAGTGATAAAGGAAGCTGTTCAAGTTGTCTCTACTTGTCATGGCGATTAAGAAAGATTGTTTTGCAGGTATTCATCCAGAAATGGCTCCAGCTAGAAATGAATATTGGTCATCTTTTGCCCCTCTTCCGACTGAAGTTGTCTTATCGGCTGGACAAAGAGCCAAAGATGAGAATTTTGTTGGTAAGATTTTAATGTCATTTGTTGACCGAATTCCCATCTTTGTTATATTGAACTGGATAAGGAATTCTAATAGATTCTTAAAAGGTGTTTAGTAAGCCCTTGTTAATTGCTCAAATCTCTTATGTCATATGCAGTTGACAATGATTTGGAGGAGCGAGAAAAGGGAATTCGTAATCTGAATGAACTTGTCTCAGAGGGAAGTGTTGAAAGCATGCTTTTCGTGGAGAAAGGTCTAAGAGAACTGTCATCTCTCAAGGTTTTGTCTAGTATCTTTATTCTGTTGTACACTCATTTTTTAAACTAACTAGCAACATGACATCTTCACCAAAAATCATTAATTTATTCAAAGCACGTTAAGTGGATATGTTGTTTAATGATCTCTTCTCTAAAATCCTTTCAGTTTTATTGTCTCCAATTGCGAGTTACTTCAAAAGATCAGTAGCCACGTTTGCAAACTGTACTCAGTTCTGAAACTCATGAAACTACCTAGTTATTTAGTTATTCTGTGGAAAGATAATGAGTTAATATGTCCCTGATTGCAGCTTCTGCTGATTGGTAATTTATGGTATGAGATGAAAGTAATGAAAATAATAGTGATAAAATTGTGAGAAGAATTGTATCTCCTGCCCTATCTTTTAGCATTTATTTGAGTGTCAAAAGTCATCAGATATCGAAATATTCTGAAATTACCCACGGAATGTTCGGTTTCCAACTAAGTAGTCAGATTATCTAGACAAGTTGAGTTTGAACTTCGAAAGGGTTTTCTACTCTTATATTTGGATGTTTGATACTTAACTATCAACTTTCATAGCCATTGGTTTTCCTTGTGATAAACAAACTGAGGAATTCTTTAATTATATTGACTTACTTTCTCCAACAATAGTGACTATTATTAGTCAGCTCTGATTGAGGTGCAGCTTTTTCTCTCTGAAAGAGGGCACGCTCTCTTTCCTTGATCATATTTTTTATTTGGAAATAGCTTCTCTTGTGGCTTAATCCTTTCTTAACCTCTACCTTTAGCCTTGCTTATGAGTTCAGTAGAATTTTGATCTGCAAACATCTTATGGTAAACTATAATGGGCAATTAGTAAATTTGGGTTTCATCCCTTATCCTCAATTTAGTAAGACTGGCAGGTTCAAGCATTATCTCCTGTTTCATCATAAGCTTTTGTCTCCTTTTCCTTTCCATTTGTAATGGCAGCACAATTTACTTCCATAATGTGACTTATCTCTTCCTGGTTAAGGTTGAAGAGGCAATAGCGGTTGCAATGGCACAAAAACGACGTCCAGGTGCACTAAAAGCTACAGGTACTAACTTTTGGATCTTGTCAATTTGGAGCTGCTTGAGAACGATGATAACTAATGACCTTTCATCATTTATAATCCATTAGTAATATTTCATTTATGCTGTTTATGTAATTTGATTATCATTTGGGAAGAGCATTACATGTAGTGTCAGAAATATGAAACTCAAGCTTTGGAGTTACTAATACTCATATCTTGTCACTTGGACTTTTGATAGATGAAACTGTTCTTTTGCTTGGCCTAGATCTTTTGTTCATTTGATTTATTCGATTATCTTGGCTTTATCATTTGTTACTACTGATATTTCTTATCTCCACTCCCGTTCAATGTGCGTTACAGATGATTTGAAGCTACCATTTGAGGGACAGCCATTTACAGAAGCATTTGGTAACTGCCATCATTTTTATCAGAAGGAATACTTCCATAAAACTTTTTGTCTCTATTTAATGATTCAAAAAAAGAAACCTTTCTTCTTCAATGTGATTTTTATATGAGATTTAACATACATAGTAACTTCTCCATCATTGATTGTATTTCAGAACTAAGCAAAGAAGAAGTAGATGATGTTCGCTTCAAGAAGGTACGCTTACCAACTTCCCTTAATAGCATAGTTATTTTTTCCGAATGTAATAATTCACTTGTAGAAAAGGTGTCCAATAACTTCAAAAAAGTTAGTTCTTTTGGTTCCGTCATTTATCTTTTTTTGGAACTAATTCGTCTATTTATTCCTTGTACCCTTGGAAGCTGTGTGGCAAGTCCATAGAACATTTGCAGATAAATCATCTTCTAAGAACAGATAAATCATACTATAGTATAGGAATCACTGTCTTCAGTTGTATCTTCTTACGTAGAACAGTTAAATGGATCAAATATCTTCTCCAATGGATAATCATACAGAATCAACAATTGCATTGTCACCATCTTTTGTAGGCTTGGCTAACTTATTTTTGGAGAAGGGCAAAGAATCATGGGCTAAATGCGGACATTGCAGAGGAGAGATTGCAATTCTGGATCAGCCAAGAGGATGCATTGCCAACGTCAAATACCGCTGTTGATGGTATTACTCCTCCTTTCTGTTTCTCCAGTTTATCTTCTGTTGTATGAAATTTAAATGACACAAAAAAAAAAAAAAAAATTCCCTTAAAGTCCCACTGTATTTTGTTGCAGTTGAACGTGGTCTGATGGAGCTGAGGAAACTGGGGATTGAAACCCAATTGTGGGAAGAGTCTCGCAGGATGATTGATCCTGATTCCAATCACAAGACCCAAATGGACTTCGAGCTTAATTATTAGAACATCTGTCTTTCTTTTCTTTCTTTCTTTTCTGGGCAGTCTTTCTTTCCCTTCTGGATGACTTTTGCTGTAATACCTCATCTTTCCAACGACTGTATATTCTTATTTTATTTTTCTCTTAAAGCTTTAGCTCTGATGTAAGATTAAGGATTACCACGTAAAAAGCATGAAAAGACAATGGTTTTTCTTTTGGTTGTGGTTTTGCAAAAAGGCAGAAACGGTTTAAAAGGTGAAATAAAAAACAAACAACTTTGCGGCCTAAATACTGTATTTATGTTGTTTCAAAATGATTGTTTTAGTAGTACTTCATGAATAAGATAATTATTTTGGAACGAAAAAAGTAACTGTTTTTCTAATACTAGCAATTTCAGTGAAGCAAAGTCAGCATTTTGCTGACGGGCAATAACGGATGGGGAAATTAAATAGGTAAGCATCACATTGGAAACAGAGCAGCTTGCATGCAAAAAACTTTCTCAGGAGCTCTAGAATCTGGACACATCAATTTCTGTGTGTAGAAAATGTCATCTACTTCCAGAATAATCAATGACCGGTGCAAAACTGGGGATTTTATAAGATGGCCTCAGCTCGTAGCCCTTTTCATTCTATCATTTACAGCATTCATCCCGTCAACATCATCATCTTCCTCTGTTCTTCATCCTGTTTGGACTTCTCTCAGGTTAAAAAAAAAAAAGAAAAGAGAAACTAAGCTCTCTTTGATTGAATTTTTTTTTTCTTTTCTTTTGACTGAGTTTTTCCTCTCTTGTTTCGGCCTGATTTTCTTTCTGGGTTCTAAATGATGCAGATCACACAAGAAAATGGTTAAGGCTGTTGCTGTTCTTACTGGGGATGTAGGTGTGGGTGGTGTCATCCATTTTCACCAAGAAGGAGATGGTAAATTATTTTAACCAAAAAACTTTCTTCAATTAGTACCATATCATTCTGCATCTTTCTCTTCAGTTATATGGCATATTGGCATTTGAAAATTCTTAATTCTCTTTGCTTTTGTATTCAGGTCCTACCTGTGTAACTGGAACTATCTCGGGTCTGTCACCAGGGGACCATGGCTTTCATGTCCATGAGCTTGGGGACACAACAAATGGCTGCAATTCAACTGGTATTTTGTCGAGAATTAACCCCTGATTTTCAACTTCTCTAATAGGAGCCATCGATTAGTTTCCGTCAATGCTTTGCTCATTTTGTCAAATTTAAGTACTGAAGATTAATGGAATTTTGATAAATTAATCCAGGACCCCACTTCAATCCCTTTAACAAAGAACATGGTGCTCCTAGTGACGCGGAACGCCACGCTGGTGATCTTGGGAATGTTGTAGCTGGTGGAGATGGTATTTTATATTCTTAAGCTTTGTTCTTGTTACAGTCAATTTGGTGTTTGTTACGTAGTTTTAAGATCACTAAAAGGATAGCAACCATGGCATCAATTACTCCTAAGTCCCGGAAAATTAGTAGTAGTAAAATTTTTGTTCAGCAGAAATTTTGGTTTAGACATCTTTAATCACTATCACTCTTATTAAGTGTTACTTCTCCATTCATGTTGTAGGCAATGCCAAAATCTCAATCACTGATAACCAGGTCAATTTCGAGGCTTCCTGAGTATCCCTTTTTTCACCTCAATTGCTTCCTTTGGTATAACTTCTTTACTAAAGCATAGTGTTTACAGCTTAAACTTTGTGGGCCGCATTCAATTATTGGTAGGGCAATAGTGGTACATGCTGATCCAGACGACCTTGGCAGAGGTAAAGCAAAGATGCTGACAACTTTGTCGACATAGTAGTTTTGAAACTTTTGCTTTGTGTTTTTTGGAACAGTTTTGTTTTGCTCCCCAGTTTTGCTCCTTGGTTTGGCTCTAGGCCATAATTGCTGGCCATCAGAGACAGGGACAAGAATAATGTAGAAGGGTTCTTACAATTGTGTTTCAGATAATCATATTACCAATGCTTGATTTGTACTTCCTTCAGTAACTCATTATGTTGGTTTATGCAGGAGGGCACGAGCTTAGCAAGGCGACTGGCAATGCTGGTGCTAGGGTTGCCTGTGGTATGTTTCCTGAGTTTCTCAGGGCTCAAAAGACAAATTTCTGTTTAAAGATAGGATGCATGATATGATTTTGCGTTTGTTTTAACCGCACCGCGAAAAGTTGACCCAACAACCCATCAAAGTGGCTATCTTGAATTAAGATGGTGCATAATCTTTTCAATAACATGACAAATTGGGTGATCATCAAACGAGCTCGATGTTATATCAGAGCATTATTACTATGTTTCAATACTCCAATCTTATACCATTTCTTTATGTGCAGGTGTCATTGGCTTGACTGGTTGAGATAGCTTTGCTTCATGTGATGTCGGTCGCAAGGGGGCTTCCAATTTTCTCTTCTGAATAAAAGAAATCAGATTCTGCCGCTTTGTAGAGAACAATTGTATTGCCGCATAGTAGCCATCTTTAATACTAGTTACCACCAGTTACTGATGAAAGTTGTGTGTAAAGTGTAGTTTCTAATAAAAGGATCCCTTCTCCAACTTTTTATCTCGTGATGCTTAAATTAGCATCGACATCTTGGCACCGTGTAGTAGAGGCGTCTTACCACCAGGTTACACCTCATCGTCAAATTTGTAAGTCAAGCTTCGTTTCAACTGATGTTAGATAACAAGACTGTCCTTTTCTAAAATGTTATGGGACCGTTTTTTGATAGTGCCCAAACGAAGCAAAAAACTAGTCTGATTTTGGGTCAAACACACGAAATCACAAATCGAAGGAACCGAAATTGTCATTCTTCCTTCGGTACACCGACATAGGTGCAAACTTAAAAACTAATGGAACTGTAACTCTCCAAGAGAAGCAGAGGATGAATGATATTCTCAGAATCTCAAACTAATAAATCAAACAAATTGTCCATTCCAAAACCTGAAGAAAAATGAGTGGGCAAAATTGTACTAGTAATAAATAACAATTCAAACGTATGAAATGACTAATCCAGAAACAGCCAAGACAGGAAAACAGGCTTAGCATTATGCAATCAAACAGGATGGTGAAGCAACATGATTTCATTAGGGATTGAGGATTAGCATTTATGCATTCAGATTGGAGCATAACACAACCAATATGGCTGAATTGGGTGGTTTCATCAAAGTAAAAACAAATCAAAAACTTGTTTTCTTTTCTCTTTCGATTGATAGCTAAAAAACAACAGAACTGAATCAATAAATAGATCAAAATACATCATTCATTCAAGCCATCTTTGAAGCAGAGTATAAAGAAGAGGAAGGGAACTGATCATGTGGTTTCTTCAAGCAAAAATCAGAACTACCCGGAGGCTTCAATTGTTTGTTCTTCAAAGGGGTAGGAGCAACCTGCAAGAAGAGATAATTCCCAGCGAAAAGATCACCAAAATGAGACTGACTTTCCTTCAATCTCTTCACAATCTTCTTACACGCAACCGTCACCAACCTGGCTTTCCTCCTCAAGAACCTCCTCAAACTCGGGATTCTCACCTTCAATCTCCTCCTCACGTGAACCCTTCTCGTCAATCTGAAGTTTGAGCTCAATCTCAGCTTCCCAATTTGGTCATTGATGAATTGATCTTCTTCATGATCAAACCATCCCAGCTCTTGCTGCAACCTTTGGTATGAAAATCTTGAACTTGAACCCATTTTTTTTAATGGAAAAAAAGAGCTGGCAATTGAAAAAAGGGGTGGTCGATTTTCTTATCTTTTGGAGATGATCATATAATATTATTGTGATAATAATGGTAGTATGTGTAGGCGGACTGGATTTGGCAGGAATGGTGGTTGTATTTTGTAGCAAATAGCAATAGCAGTAGCAGAAAGTAGGAGAGTGGAAAGTAGTTGGGGAAGCATTGAATGCTGTTAGTGTGTGACTGTGTTTTTTATGTAGTCCACCAAATGGTGTGGCCCTTGGACCCTTTTGCATTTAATTTTGCGATAGTAAAATTAACTATTAAGTTGTCAGAACGGATAATTAATTAGTTACAATTTTTTTTGAAAAAAATTCATATAAAATATTGAATATTGTGTTTGTTTGGACAAGCACTCATTTTACATTTTAACTCATTTTGCCTCTTAAACACAAAACCCAATGAAAAAGAAAATATCATCCAAATAACTTTTTGATTTACATTTTAAATTACAACTTGAAACACTTTTTGTTAGTGTAATAACCATTTTAGAACTACAAATAGTTCAGTGACAAATTTGACAGGATTCCGTTGTTGAGTGATTGTTTTTGGAAAAATTCTTTTTTCCAGTGACTATAATTGACAGTATTTAATTGTTCAGTGATGACTCGTACTTGATATTTTCAAAATATAGTTCAAAATACTTTTTTCAAAACCAACATCCAAACAACTTTTTGCGCAAAATACCATCCAAACAATATTTTTATTTCCCATTTAATTTTTAACTTAAAACACTTTCCACTTTTAAGTGGTAAAATGAAATATAAATGACGTCCAAACAAGCGAGATTCATTTCATTTTTTTCCCCTTAAAAGCCCAAGAAGATACTCTCTCCCTAAAGTTCTAGAAAGTGTAAAAAAGATTAAGGATTGCTCCAACTTGAAGTATGTATACTATTTGACGGTGGTTTCCTTTAAGAAGAGAAGAAAGGGGTGAAGATATGGGTGATCTTTAAAAAAAAAATAATAATAACAATAATAAGAAGAAGAAGAAAGCAAAGTTGCTTGTGTTTATTTCGTTTTTTTAGCATGTATTTTTAGGTGTTTTTTATATTAAGAATGTAAAAAAGTGTATTGGAAATGTAAAAAAGTATACTGAGATGGAACAATTATTATTTAAATATTTTGAAAATACCAAAAAAAAAAACTAACAAACTTATTTTTATGAAGTTTTTACCACAAAAGGTACGTATAAGATCTATGATCTTAAGTAAGGGCTTCACAGAAGGTGCACACCTAAAGAGCCGCTCTTGAGATTCTTAAATAAGACACTTTAAACCGTTTTGTTTTTCTTTCTCCTTAAAAATTACTAGATTCTGGTCCCTTGCATTGCAAAGGATGAATTTAATTTTGAAAATTTTTTATAATGTTTTGGTTGGGATTGTTCTATTCAAGTTGTTACGACAATCTCATAAACTGCATACTTTGCATACTATTGTATCGGATTATTCAGAGTTAACATTTTCCATATTTTCCAGATTAGAAATGATATGCATATTAAATGAATATAGTTAAGGAAATGATGAGAATGAGATCATAATCGTCATTTCTAATTAAATCCTCACATTTAAGTTCATCAATTTAATTATGTTTACAATTTAAATATAGTCACATCATTTATTTATGAGTATGCATAGAAGCGATTCAATTAGATCATAATCAGTCCCATTCAATTATGGTAAATGAGCATCACAACTTTTTATAGATAATAAAAGATATATAGATAAATTTGTGAAAATGTGTACATGTATATAATATAAGCCTCCAAACTTTTTCATTTTACCTTCACTAAAAGAACCAATATTATGAGTAATTTTATGGACGGTAAAGAGCATTACTCTAAAAAATCCCTTAAATTCAAGTACCTTTAAACAAAAAATTCCGTCTAACACAAAGGAAGCTTTCAGACAGAGTGCAAACAACCAATTATTTCAATTTTATGGAGGTTGTCAAGTCCATGCTAGGAAGTTTTGCTATGTTGCTTCAGCTGATTGGAACCATTGTTTTATTTTTTTTGGAGTTAGACGAGAGAAGGATTACTTAGTTTATCCTTATAGGTTGAGTATGTGTATTGTGAATCAGTAGCAGATCTAGAGCAGAAATGCATCGGGCCATAAATACATTGTAGAAGAAAATTCAATTGTTTTATGAGTGTGTAAAATGAGATTTCAAACTTTGATATGTTGTATATAACGATATTTCCATAAAAGAAAATTGCGACATTTATCCCTTTTGATGTACTTCGTCCATTCCAAAATAAGTGTCATTTTAGTAAAATTGAAAAATTTCAAAATAAGTGTTGTTTTCTTATTCTAATGCACTTTGTGCCATAGATTTCCAAAATTATCCTCAAAATAAATAATATTATTGGTAAGAAGCTGTTTTAATGAGGTTCGTTGAGGATATCTAGTAATTTATCTACCTCATTTAAACGTTTCTTAAACTGTGTGAAAGTTATAGAATCACATTTATTTTGGGATGGTGATAGTATAATATTATATGATAATTTATTCAAAAGTTTTACAGCTCTCATGACTTTTCAGTGTGCTCATAGCTCAAAAGAAAAAAAAATTATTTCAATTAATATAGACACAAATTAGTCAATCTTTTGCTCTTTCTTAACCTAAGTAATATTGTTCACAGACAAAAAATGTCAATCAATCTTTTTGGGTCTAGATGGAATATTTAGTTATGAAACAATATACAATTGTTAATAATAAATGTTACAAATCTATTGACTAGTAATACATAATTACTCCCTCCATTTCAAAATGTAGGTCGTTTTAAGTTTGGAGAGATTTTTCAAAATGTAAGTCGTTTTACAAATTCTAGGCAAATTAATGACTATTTTTTCAATTTTACCATCAATAAATGATACTAATCTATTTTTATTTAGTCTTGTTTATAGTTTCAATATAATTAATGAGGGGTAAAAAAGATATTTAACACATAAATTAATTGTTGGATGATTGTCTCCTTAGTTTACGTGCCAAATCTAAAAAGACTTACATTTTGAAATGGAGAGAATATATAACAAATTAATTAGACTTATGACAAACCTAAAAATTCACTTTAGATTTAGATTATATTTAATTGGCCCAACACTCATTTAAGAGTAAAACAATTAATATTCAAATCACACAAAAATTTAAATACATAAAAGTCCTAAATACAATTAATTGTTATTATATATATAGTAATGATTTAGGGTGGGGCCAGTGAATGCCATGGCTCCAGTGGCCCCCACATTAAATCCGCCATGTGTTATGAACAAAACACCATTTAAACAGAGTGAATATGATTTGATGTGGATAATATTATTTTAATATTAATACACAATTTGATTCCCAATGTGATATTAATATGAATATTTTGATTCTTTGAGATCAAATCTCATCCGATGCATATTCATGTTAATGTCATCTGCATATAATACATATTTGGTATTATGTGACTATGAGATTAATATTATTTGGAATCAAACATGATCTAATTTGTAACTAATGTGTGTATACATCATTTGATTTGATACATATAAATGTTAATATGTAACTAGTGTATATTACTTTTGGTATAATACATAATTTGATTTGGAAAAATTTAGATGAGAGGCAGTGGAAGATACGTAATTAATAAAGAGGGCAGTATCTTTAAATAATTATTAGTAAGGGTATTATGTTCTCACTTTCAAACATGACTTTATCTCTTCATCTAACCAAATTTTACCTATTTTAATTTTTCATAAGTAAATTCAACTCTATGTGCAAAGTTTAAAGTTGATAATATATTAGTATGCAAAATCAAAATATTACAGACAGAAGAAATAATTACATTATTTAAAATACAAAGGTTTTTTTTTTAATTAAAGAGGAAAATCAACCGACCATGAATAGAAAGGCACAACACACAAAGAGGACCTCTAAGATGAATATTGTAACCTTCCTACGCACAGCCTGCATAGTTCCTTGTTTTATTTCATTAAATTCTGAAAAAAAAAAATAAAATTGGGCAGTGTATAGGCTAACTCTTACAAGAAGGAAAAAACTTCCTATTCTCAGTTACGTAAATATGAAAAGGACATTTGAACTAAAATCAATAATCCCTTTACAAAATGTGGTAAGGAGAAAAAAGAATCAAAGTTGTTGAGACACCTTGCAAAGCGGCCTTAGCCAAGCCATCAGCGACTGCATTCCCTTCTCTATATATATAAGTAATAGAATAGCCATTACGCCCAATAATTGAACACATATGTGCCATTTCCAAATAGAATTTCCAATGAAAACCCGTCTGTCTTACAATGGCGTCAGAAAGCATCTTACTATCGGTTTGTATAACCACATTTGAAAATTGTTGAATTTTACACTTTCGCAATCCAAACAGAATACCATAAACTTCAGCTTTTAAGCTATCCCCTTCTCCCAAGAATCCACACTCACCATACAGAAAATCACCCCCTTCCCCACGAATCACAAAACCATACCTAGCATCTCCTATGGAGGAACCATCCGAATTCAAGATGTAAAATATGTTTGCCCCTGTGACTAAGGATTTTCCTGGAAGTTTTGATTTTACTTAGCGAAGCGGATATCCTTGTTTGTGAGATGTGTTTGATTTTACTTTAAGATTATGCACCGATAACAAGTCACAAATACTAGCTGAAATGGAATAAATTACAGAACTTAGAGTGGGCTTAGTACCTTCATAAATCATCTTGTTCCTTGCCTTCTAGACTTCCCAAAAAATAAAAGAAGGAAGCAATATAAGAGCTGATTTCCTTGCCGTAGTGTAGCTCCCTTTCAACCACCACTTTTTGAGCAAATTTTGTAAGCTTGTATGGTCGTTTGTGTTAAGACACATAATTGATGCAAAATGAGACCAAATAGCAGCCGTAAATTTATAGCTATAGAAACAATGAACCAACCCATATGATTGCTTACGACAAAACAAGCATATTGAG